GAGAATCATGATCACACACATGTTGAACACATTATTTTTAAACATTGTTGATTATTTTATCAACACTAATAGATTTTGGACAATTTCTCCGATCTCATCAATGATAATTTCTGTTAGAGGATTTTGTAAAATATTTTTTATTGTTTTTTTTTCTTCCCTTTTGTCCTTTTACTTTGGTTTTCTGAAAAAAAATCGATCATTTTTCAGCTGACACGGAAAGAAATCGATCCCATTTAAATATAATTATTTACGTTCAGACAACCTTTGCGGACGATGTAATTCATTAATATTTGCCTCGAAACTGATCCCATCTATTGACTTATTAATCTTGTAAATTTGTAAAATGTGAGGGGTTCATTTTACCCCATTAATTTGCTCTCTGGAAATCTCTCTCTCTCTCTCTCTTCCTCTCTCTCTCTCTCTCTCTCTCTCTCTCTCTCTCTCTCTCTATCTATCTATCTATCTATCTATCTCTCTCACACACACACACACACATACACTCTCTCTCTCTCTTTCAACACACACGGTGCCTCTGTCGGCCTGCTTGACTGTCTGTCTGTCTGTCTCTCTCTCTCTCTCTCTCTCTCTCTCTTTCTCTCTCTGTGCCTCTGTCTTTGACCGTCTGACTGTCTGTCTCGGTGCTTCTGTCTCTGTCTGTCTGTCTCTGTCTGTCTGTCTCTGTCTGTTTGTCTCTGTCTCTGTCTCTCTGTCTCTGCCTCATGTCTGTCTGACTGTCTGTCTTTCTTTCACTCTATCTGTGCCCCTGTCTTTGTCTCTCTGTCGTACTCTCTTTCTCTCTCTCTCTCTCTCTCTCTCTCTCTGCCTCTGTCTCTGTATGTCTGAGTGTCTGTCTGTCTGTCTGTTTGTCTCTCTCTCTCTTTGTCTCTCTGTCTCTTTCTTTGTCTCTCTGTCTCTGTCTGTGTGTCTGTCTGTCTCTCTCTATCTCTCTATCATTCCGCTATTTTTTATCATTCAGCTATTTTCAATAATGTCCTCGTCTGGAATTTTTCGATTCTTCAAGCCTCACAATATCCTTGGAAAACATTTCGTGTGCCAATAAGGATGTCTACGATTATCACCTTTTTTTTTCAGTTCTATTCAAAGACCAAAATATTTAATTTTCCACTTTCATAACCCCTTCCACCCTGTCATCTGTTAGAAGTGTGTCAGCTACGATCTGGCAGATTTTCTGTCACTTGTTTACGATTCATTCGATCTAATCATCCGCTGGATTCGGCGGCCCGTTTATATTCCAATATTACAAAGAATTTTATTTTTATATTCTCCAGGACATCTTCTAATTCTTGTGGTCCTCTTGGATTGTTTTCACAATTCCCAGGGGATCACCGTTCTTCCCTAACCATATCTACATACAGGTCTATTTTCAATCATGTTTATTTTCATGCTAACGTGATAAAAGATTGTCGCTCTCTATCTATCTCTTTTCCCTCTCTCTCCCTCAAGCCCTCCCTCCTTCGCACGTATATATATATATATATATATATATATATATATATATATATATATATATATATATATATAATTAATTGTTATGAAGAACTTGGTAATCCGTATGGGTAATCCCAAGGAGGATGAAATCCTGAGAGCTCAATATAAATCCAGAGCTAATATTTAAAAAAGAAAACAGACCACTTTAAGGTACCATTATAATAATTTATTTCACCAGAGCCCTTTTAAAGAACGCCGGATCATCAGATAGCACTTCCAAAAATGAAATGAAACGAAAAATGAAATTAAAATTGATGGGTAGTGTAAGTTTTGTAATTTAACAGAGAGTGTAAAAGAGGTAGTTAAAGAGACATGGTAGAGACATATATATATATATATATATATATATATATATATATATATATATATATGAAAATGAAGAAATAATGTCGGACTAAGAAATCCATTTAAGAATGGTTGTGGAGAGTAAAACAAAAATTGTATTACCCCCAAAAAGAATCGATCACGGTAATTCTGGGAGATGACGCTTATAGTGTAAGCCGTCTTTGTAATTAGTGTCCTCGATATCAAGAGAGGAAATATAACTAATAATAATAATAATAATAATAATATCAAGTTAATTAATTTAATTAAATACACCCAGTCTGAAGTTATTAGGCAAATCATATAAACTTCAATAATTCAAATTCGGCTTGAAAAAACATTGTTAAATTTCAAACAAACAATTTAGATGTTAAAACAAAGCCTGGGTTAAAATTTTAGGTAGTATCAATATGTTTTATTGAAGTTAATAAAGTCATTTGATGTATTCTAAAAAATGTCGTCTGGAATTATTAGGCGAAACCAAATAATCACATTTAACTTCAATAAAAAGGTCATAAAACAATAAAATTCATCAACACATGTAATAGAACAAATCCCAAACACATGATAAATCTTTTACATCTTAATATAATGACCTTTCTTCTCAGTAACAGTCAGTAATCTATTATCAATATCAATTGATTTTCTTAATTCTTTACTATAGCAGATCCAATTTCCCACATTAATTGCTTCCCATAGGTCTGCTTTGTTGTTATATTATTTGCCACCTTCATACAATTTCATTCATGGATGAGTTTAAATTTGACAAATGTTGTTCCAGAACTTTTTGAGTTATTGAGATTTATTTGATTTGCATAATAACTTCAGATAGGCGGTATATTCACTTCTCCACTCTGAGGTTGAAAGAGTTTTCAACCCTTCAGGAAACAAATTGCTAAAATTTTACCATCACGTCTCCAGGAACGTGGATGCTATTCTATGAAACTCAGAGGCGAGACATGAGAAGTGAACATATATATAACTTTTTCCCATCATTAAATTAAAACGTGGAATTCACAGTCATCATGGAGTGTTGATTCGTATGTCTACACTATATATATTTATATATATATATATATATATATATATATATATATATATATATATATATATAGAACTGTGTAGCGAAAAAACATATTTTAAACCAATTAATTTTAATATATATATATATATATATATATATATATATATATAGAACTGTGTAGAAAAAAACATATTTTAAACTAATTAATTTATAATATATATATATACATATATATATATATGTGTGTGTGTCAGTGAGGCTGGAATTGATAATAGACTTTAGAGAGAATTTGGTTAAGGGGTGGTGTGGTTGTAAACATTGCCTTAGAGCCATGACTGGGTTCACCTGCTGTTGCTAGGCATAGGGTCTTCCAGCAGACACCCTCTTGACCCAGGGTAGCACTACCTTCTCAAGGATTTAGACGTCGGAATCCTTTGCACTAGCTCCAGATTGACACCCAAACGCACTGAAATATTCGTATTGAACTATCCAGCGTGAATGCCAAGCAATGCAGCATGTCGTTTCAAAATTTCCGGCGGTGTGTATTGCATCTTGGTGCTCTAATTTCTCGCAGAGAGTAGCCAACTGACCCTACTATACTGTGCAATCAACTAAATCAAAGACAAACAACGCGCATGCGCAAAGTTAAAAATACAATACATTTTATCCATCGCACCCTGTAGAAACTGTCTAATAAGCTTATCCACGCGTAAAAAATAGTAAAAATAATGGAAGCATTAATAATATAAAAAAAAGCAAACACTCAATAATATTAACTACGAACACAGACACATTGTGCTGTGTTCGGAACATAAAACATCCCTATAACTTTAGATACATACACACAACCCATACATCCAGTTAAAAAATAAAAATAAAATCATAATGGCTAGCCGAAAGCGCTTGGAGTTACAGAACATTCTGACAGTTTTTACACACTCTGTGTCCAGAAAAGAAAACACTTGTTCGAACACAAGGAAAATTAAATGCAAAGCTTAATCACGGTACTTTGTCGTCTTTAATGAAACATGTATAAAAGAGGGATTACCACATAAATACACAATATATGTGTGTGTGTGTGTGTGCATGTGTGTGCGTGTGTATGTATGTATGTATTTACTTCAATAATCCCCTAAACTTTTAGTGAAAAAATTATTTATTTTGCGGAATAAATGTTGACTTTTCAGCCTAATCTTCTTAATTGTCCATGCATTGAATTCGTTGGTGAATATTAATCACATTCATCTAACATTAGACAGGGAAAAGTTAAGATCTAAAATCAGCTAAGAACTACTTTTCAGCATGCGGAATTAGGGATCCACAGACTTATATATGACATAGATAGATAGATAGATAGATAGATAGATAGATTGATTTACTTATATATTCGAAAGTTTTAAGTTGTGAAGGAAAAACATATTTTAAAAGTTTTACCAGGCAAAAAAAAGAAATAAATAAACAGTTGTTTCTTCATAAACCTCATAATTAATAAGCTCAAACTAAAAGCATGAAAGGATGATGTTGTAATGGAAGCAGGAGCAGCAGCAGCAATAACAGTAGTAATAACCATAAGAAGACTTGAAATCAACAAAGAGAAGCATCGTAATAGCAGACATTTGGCTGCTTTTCAAGTCTGTAACATTGCATCATGTAGTGCCTTCAGGAACTTTCACCTACTTTGGACAAGTATCCTTGGCATTCCAGCTGTTGGGATCAGAATTTCAGTTCTTTCTCCAAACAGGCAAGCACAAACAGGGAAAGAGAGAAAGTGAAGCATAGGAAGGGGTGCATAAAAATAAAGAAACAAAATGTCTGATTTAACTTCCTCCCTTCTCTTTTAGAGCAATAAAAGAAATAACCTCACATGGTAATGGCACTTGTAAATTTAACCGTTTCCTTATAAGGAAACATTCAGCATTCATGGACCTAACAGCGTTAGTGGCGATTGAAATTTATAAAATCTTTCTCTTTTTTAAGGAAAACAGGCTTCTCAAGTCTCTTTCTTTTATTGATGGATGTTTCCTTCCCAACTTTTTGTTTAAGGTAGTGTAGAAATTTAACAAATTCAGTATATTCTTATTTTTTCTTCTTGTTCGAATTTCAGTCGGATTCGTTAAATTCGCTTACGCGCAATTACCCTTGAGAAAAGTATAGAACCATTTATTTTCACACCTATGGGTTGAATAGTATGATTTTGTCTGGAAAAATCATTGTCATTTTCTAAAAACGATTAATGCAATATTCGTTCAACATAATAAAAAAAAGAATTATGCTTATCATTCAGAATATGTTTCGGCTTAACCCATGAAGAATTGACAAACTGTAAAAGACAAATCAATCGACAATTCCTTCTCGTTATATGCGCTACCCATTTTCGTTGTCGCTGCTGTTGGATGTCTCTAGGTGATATGATTTCTGTTATTTTGATAAAGCGCTTTGTTTTTCTGTAGCATTATTCTATAAGCTCTGATGACTGATTTTCTTCTTATGACCTGACGGTTTCATGTTCTCGAAACAATTCACCAATGTCCAATGATAATTACTACATTTACTTAAAAATTACGCTAACTAAATGTAATGCCTACCGTTTATACTTAAGTATAGTTTGAGTTGTATGATCAGGTTTTTACACCAAAAAATTAGGGGTTGCATTATACAGAGGTAATTTTTTGAAGTGGTTAAAAATCATGCATTTTTAGTGACCAATTGTACAATACACGAAGTCGTCTTATACACGAATATGTTTGGCATTATGGAATAAAGTTTCTTTCAAAAGCAAAAACGGTAATAATTCTTATTCTTTACTCTTTATTTTTATCGGGATTTCTTTCTATGACAAGATATCCTACAGAAGATAGTAAAAGAAAGTGACATAGTTGATAGCAAAAGGGACAGCCCGACATGCAAATTACAAGTTGGAGATACCAAAATCATACGTGCACAAAAATTTAACCATCTGGGAAGTGTTTTAATAAAGGATGGAAAGTACACCTGGCGCAATGGGATGGCCAAAGATGACTACCAGAAGCTAAGCAAAGTATTAAGAAACAGGAAAATTTCGTTAGAAAATTACTGAACTTTTATATAATAATCAGTCCTTCTATGTGGCAATGAATCTCTTCACAGATGAAGAAAAAAATTTCAGGTGATAGAAATGTGGTTCTACAGAAGGATGCTGAGAAGATGATAGATGGAAAGCTGTGAACAAGGACGAAGTTTTAGAGACAATCAAATCAACAAGAACACTTAATATCGCAAAGAGACAGCTAAATTTTCTTGAAATCTTTAACCATCACAGGACATACTGAGGGCAAGAAAGACAGGGGAAAGCAGTGAATAACTTACCTATTTTTATAGATTATGCAAAAGTGATTGATAAAATATGTCACAAAGAAATGTTTGAACTGATAGGTAACATTGACATATTTGGAAGGATATTAGAATAATCCAGAACCTATAGTGACTGTATACGGACAGAAAATAAATCCAGTACATCAGCGTTGGGTAATGGCAAGGGAGGCTATTCTGGTTGACCATTACTACTGAGTATTGAGTTAGTACTTGGCTCAATCACCCACACTTGTGACCATGTGTTAAACTTACCTAAGCTCAGTAACTGACTTGTGAACACATCAGCGTTGGGTAATGTCAAGGGAGGCTATTCTGGTTGATCATTAATACTGAGTAGTGAGTTAGTTCTTGGCTCAACGACTCACACTTGTGACCATATGTCAAATTTACCTAAGCTCAGTAATTACTTTGTAGTGAATTCGGTCTTAACTTACAAGTAAGCACTTCGGTTTCGTGTAATATATAGCCAGCTATGTTAGTTTGTTTCTACTGTATAGTGAGTTGTATCCTTGCTGGATTTCAAAACTAAGCTACGTTTATTAAATAACAATTCACCTATTGTTAGTGCAATGGTTACTTAGGTACGCTATTTAATCATTTCTACTGTTTAGTGAGTTTCTATTATAAGTAGCCTTGTGCCACACCTTGCTTAGCTTATTAAATTACAACTAAACATGAGCATTAAAACGTCGTCTAACAAAATTCCAACTAAAACTACTATGCTTACAACTGCAAAAAAAAAATGAAATAAAAACTATTTACATTGAAACTAACGTCCTCAACTTTGTAGTTATTATAGTAATGTTTCCGTTCTTCAAGTGTCTGTCGATCTTCGGAATTTCGTCTGAACACTTTATTTAATTTACGGGCGCAGATTGTTCTCGGTCCGCTGTTCCTATCTAGGTATGTCGCGCATTGTCCTTCTTTAGTAAGGTTAATTTTTATTGCTGCCCCTGTTTCCAGTGAATCTAAATTTGTACTACCCAGCCCTGGGATGCAATACTCAATTACTATGTCTCTAATCTCACTAATAAATGCTTTAATCCACTCCGCTATTGTCAAGAGGGACAATCCTGAGTCTAGAACTTGGTGACTTAAACCCAATGTTCTATTCTTGTCTGATGCTGACACCGTTGCTGCTACCATTCTGGATCTCATTAACCGCCGTTTCTCTTTTCTTGATGATGTTACTGTTGAAGCCTTGTTGTCATTTTTCTATTTATTAATGGCTTCTATATGCTAGTTATTTCTTCAGATGTCTGATTTTCTGTCTAATACTTTTGCTTCATTCCACCCTTTTTACCTCAATACATGATAGGAAAAATAATTAATAACACCAATGCTTTACCTGAGAAATTCAGACAAGTGTGTACGTAATATTACATAAAAAGACCGTAATTTTGCGATACGCTCAAAATTATATTTCTGGATTTTTTGATTTAATAAAGACATTCGACGTTCGTTATTCACGTCTTTGTCGGATTAGCGAAACAAATTAAACATGTTTATTACAAGAAATGGTTCTTTTCCTTATGAGAAATTCTTTCTTTTTTAACGAGTATGCACTTGACCTTTTCCCAGGGACGGA